GTCTCTGCTCAGTCTCTGCTCAGTCTCTGCTCAGTCTCTGCTCAGTCTCTGCTCAGTCTCTGCTCAGTCTCTGCTCAGTCTCTGCTCAGTCTCTGCTCAGTCTCTGCTCAGTCTCTGCTCAGTCTCTGCTCAGTCTCTGCTCAGTCTCTGCTCAGTCTCTGCTCAGTCTCTGCTCAGTCTCTGCTCAGTCTCTGCTCAGTCTCTGCTCAGTCTCTGCTCAGTCTCTGCTCAGTCTCTGTTCAGTCTAATGCATTAAAGCTTGTCTGCAGAAGGATCCGAGTGTCCTGCGTGTATTTCTTGCTGGCGAGGAATACAGACCGGGCGCGGGACACCAGATTTCTCCTATTTATTCTCTCTGCCTGCTAGCCCTGCACCTATCCTTTCTCCTGCCTAGCTATTGACCATTCAGCTCTTTATTAGACCAATCAGGTGTTTTAGACAGCCAAAGTAATGGTTTCACAAAGTTAAACAAATACAACATGAAAGACTACAACACATCTTTGCATCATCAGTCAAATGTTTCACAGCATAAACAAATGTTGCACATCTTCAACTAATGTTACATAACACATGAGATCAAATAAAGCATATTCCAGGTATTTGTTGGAGGGAGAGACACCTAACAACAAGCTTTTTCCAGAGATGGTTGAGTTAAAGATTACTTCAAATGACACTTTTAATATACAGAATATTCAAGAGTGACCTTGACACACTGAAAAGGGAAAGAAACACCTCTGATATATTCAAGAGAGGCAAACAGGACCACTCACTAAACTACTCATATTTTTATAACAACATATGAAATAACAATAGACTAGGGCTACACTTGTTTCTAAATTTCTATGTTAGAAGCTAATTTGCCTTATTACACAGGAACAAACTTCCTAGACCACTAAAAGGGTAAAGCAGTAAGTGAAGGAAGCATATTCCAGACACATGTAGGCAAATATGTATTCAAATACAACTCGGAGTTTTGGTGCATTGTTTTTCATTTCCACAAAATTTCTTTTCCCTCTTGCAGTAAAAGCAGCATGGATGCAGAAACCCATGCATGAGAAAAACATATTCTTTTCATAAATAGGCAGAATATTAGCAAACAAGGTCAAGAATCGGTGTAGAAAGGCAGACACAACGTTGTTCAATTTCCACAGTGTATGATCTTTAAGTAGTATATGAAATGCACTTTATGTATGTACTGTAGTAAGTCACTCCCGAAAAATAATAGCAGGAAACCTTATGCAAGCTTATGATTAGAAGGGAGTGGGAAATGAGTCTCAGCACTAGGACAACTTTAGCAGTCTGAGGTTGCAGAACTCTTCCAGCCCTGTTTGACCCGGAACTCCCTAATTACCTTCACTTTGAGCCTCCCTTTTCCTGTAGGCTTTGTTTAACAGTTGGATCTCTTCCTGGTAGCCTTCCCGATCTTGATGCTGCCGCTTACTGTTCTGTCTGTGTGCCTCCACAGTGTCTGGGATGGAGATATTGATATCACCGTCAGGATCACTTGTAGGTAAGAACAGGGAGTATGAGGCAGTTTCTCCTAAATCACAGGAGACGAATCTGTTTTCCTTCCGCGAGTAGCGCAAGGAAGGAGACCTGACTTTCGTGGAGGACTGGCTGATGTTGCTGATGATTGACACAGTATCCAAAGCCTCATCGTTGTCACAAATTTCAAGAACCTCCAAGTGTATTTTCACACTGGTGTCCGCAAACGTGGAAGGAGACTCCTCTGAGTTCGGTTCATGGCCAACACTTTTCGATCGATAGACTTCTATTTTCTTAGAGGCAGGGGTTATCTTTTGCCCTTCTGCACTGACCTCATAAGTAGAAAGAGAGAGGGTTTTCCCGGTAGGTGCTTGGAGAGACACTGTCCCCTGGAATGCACATAAGGGAATAGCCAGCCCACTGGAACGCTGGGGACAGAAACAAAATGGTTATATTATTGAAATCGACACATATAAGTTCATTTTATGCAACAGAATGGTAAGTTTTCTACTTCTGATTCATTTCCCTGGAAACTATTTACAGATAATGAGATTTTGCTTCTGTCGCTGAGTTTCTCTGAGGTCAAATATACCTGAAGGAGTGCAGTCACTTAAGAGAAGGCAAGAGTTATTTCCAGAGTTGAAAGAGAAATGAGTGTACATAGGAAGCAATACAATGCATGTTCCTTTCCAAGGGTAGGATTTGGACACAAATTAAATGCATATTTGCAATGTGGAATTGCTTTTATGTTTCTGCTGCATATTCAGTTACATTTCAAAGCAAACATAGATGGTAGGAAATGGAGATTGTGTTATCAGCATGCAGAGTTTCTTCTCATTAGTGTACCTAACAGAGAAAATGGTGATTGCAAAGCTATGATGCAAATTAAGTACAGGGGATATTTCAGCTGTTAGTTCCTAAGAGGAACCAATTGTCACCAATGAGTTTGCTTTTCCACCGAGAAGACAGTCATTAAGATAAACCCAATTATAGAGAACCCCATGGCTCTGGAAATACCTTCCCCAAAGTTTAGACCTCTTTCTATAAAGAGGCATTGAGAAATAAAAAAAGAAAACTGATCCTCATGAAGGTCTATAATCTCACTCACTCTGTAGACCAGCTGACCTTGAACTCACATTGATCCACCTGCCTCTGCACTTTCATACTTTCAGCTGACCCCTTTTCTGCTTCCATGTTTGTGTTGGAAGGACATGGTAATATATAAATACTCAGAGCTCTCCACAACAGATCATATCAGCATTATCTGGGGGCTTGTAGGAGATGGCAGATTTCTAAGCTCTACCCTGTAGTTAACCAAGGAGAAAGTCACTTAATAAGACCCATATTGACTCTACTGTATGGTAAAGTTTGAAATACATTGCTCTAATTAAAACATGTTATAGTCCATAAAAATAAGGGGAGGAGCCAGGAGGTGGTGGCCCATGCCTTTAATCCCAGTACTCGTTTGGAGGTGGAGAAGTGAGGTGGGGGTTTTGTATGTGTTTTCAATTGATTTTTGGGAGGGAAGGTTTTCTTTTCAGAGATGCTGCAGCAGTGAGAAAAGAATATGGAAGGACTGGGAGGTGAACAGGATAGGGGTACATGATATTCCCAAAGGATCAATAAACAATTATGTTTAAAATAATAAGTAAATAAAAAAAATTTAAAGTTCATCCTAAAATCTTCCTATCCTGAAAAAACTTTTTTTTTAAAATCAAAAACAGAGATTTATGTGTTTTTACAAAAAATTGGCTAAAGCATTTTTCAGTCTGAAAATCCTGACTGTCAGGGATGGGGAGATAGTTCAGTGGTCAAGTTTGTTTTGTAAGCATGAGGAATTGACTTCTGACACCCGGTGTTCAAGTAAAAAGCCTTCGTGGTGACATGCATCTATAACCTCAGCATTGGGGGGACAGAGACAAGGGGATTTCTTTGGCTCACTGGAATCTAACCAAAATAGTGAGCTCAAGTGAAGGACCCTGTCTCAAGCAGTTAGCATGGAGAGCAACTGAGGAAGACATCTCACGGCCTCCACACCCACCTGCATGCATGAGTGTACCCCGCACATGTACAAGCACACACACACATACATTCTAAATGTTGTCTCACAATGTGAGTTGTAACCATAACTTCCTGTCTTCTTTCTGCATTCTAAGAAGTAGTTCATCTGAAAGCTGAATTCCCTTAAATTATGATTTATTATAATTATTATAAGAAAAATGACCTCCCTAAATTCTTCAATAAATCATTACTAAGGTTATTTTATTTGACATTTGACATTTTTACCATCAAAATGCTGTGATGATACTAGCGTAAAACAACAAAAAAGTCATGAGAAAACTGAGTTATTAAACAGATCAAGTTGATATAAGCATGCTTATATAAAGAGACATTTAATTGTATCTTCATATGCAACAATGTTACCACTGATAGTAGGTCATATGAAGCAGATGAGAGAACAATGGCTGAGCACATAAAGGCATTAGCCATGCAAGCCTAGTGACCTGTGTTTGATCCCTGGAATCTACATAGTGGATAGAGAAAACATACACCTCCTGTAAATCATCCTCTAACCTTCATACAGAAGCCATGCTGTAAGCACATGCCACTCAATGTCCACAAACAATACTTAAATGTTAAGAGGTTAAGAACGCTTGCTGCTCTTGAAGAGGATCCAGGTTTAGCTCCCAGCACATGGAGGTCCAAAAATAACTGTAACTACAGTTCCAGGGGTTCAGATTCTCTCTTCTGGCCTCCATGGGCACCAGGGATACAAGTGGTATATATGCATACATGCATGAAAACACTCATACATACAAAATAAAAACAAATCTTCAAAAATGTTTAAATTGAATGAGGTCGGGAGCCTTTCTTTCTTTTATTTTCCTCCATTTTTAAATTTAAATTAGAAACAAGATTGTTTTACATGTCAATCCCACTTCCCAATCCCTCCCCTCCTCCTCTCCACCCTTGCCCCCCCCACAACTAACACCCTACCTATCCCATACCCTTTCTGCTCCCCAGATAGGGTGAGGCCCTCCATAGGGGGGGGTGTTTCAGAGTCTGTCATATCCTTTGGGATAGGGCCTAACTCCACTCCCATGTGTCTAGGGTCAGGGTGTATTCCTCTATGTGGAATGGGCTCCTAAAGTCCATTTCTATGCTAGGTATAAGTACTGATCTACTACAAGAGGCCCCATAGATTTCTGAGGTCTCCTTTCTGACACCCATATTCATGGGGTCTGGATTAGTCCCATGCTGGTTTCCCAGCTATCAGTCTGGGGACCAAGAGTTCCCCCTGTTCAGGTCAGCTGTTTCTGTGGATTTCACCAGCCTGGTCTGGACCCCTTTGCACATCACTCCTCCTTCTCTGCAACTGGATTCCAGTTCAGTTCAGTGTTTAGCTGTGGGTGTCTGCTTCTACTTCCATCAGCAGCTGGATGAAGACTCTAGGATGGCATATAAGTAAGTCATCAATCTCATTATCAGGGGAGGACATTTAAGGTAGCTTTTCCACTGTTGCTTAGATTGTTAGTTGGTGTCATCCTTGTAGGTCTCCAGACATTTTCCTAGTTCCTGATTTCTCTTTAAACCTATAATGGCTCCCTCTATTATGGTATTTCTTTTCTTGCTCTCCTCTATTCTTTTCCCAACTCAACCTTCCTACTCCCTCATGTCCTCCTCATCCCTCCTCTTCTCCCCTTCTCATCTCCTAGCTCCCTCTCCCCTACTCTCATGCTCTCAATTTGCTCAGGAGATCTTCTCCCTTTCCTCTTCTCCAGGGAACCATGACTGTCTCTCTTAGAGTCCTCCTTGTTTCCTAGCTTTTCTGGCATTGTGGATTGTAGTCTGGTAATACTTTGCTCTATGTCTAAAATCCATATATAAGTGAGTACATACCATATTTGTCTTTTTGTGACTGGGTTACCCAGGAGCCTTTCTTTATTGCACTGTCAGAAAAAAATACTGTAGATGTCTATAGCTTTCCACAGGAACCTTACCACCATATGAACGTTCATTATTGAGTTAGTGGAGGATAGCTAATTCAAACTGACATTTGAGAATTACATGTTACCAGAGTCTAGCTGAATATGAAGACTGATTTTTCTGAAACATCACACAAAGTACTGGGTTATTAAAATAATTTTTAAACATTTCCATTTTAATGGATAGTCTACATTTCAGAGCTACAGGAGCAAAAACAGAGATAGGGACAAAATTCAGTCTGAGTAATGGGCAAAGAATTTTTACATGGAGGTCCAGGGTATGGACCATAAGCAGAAAGGGTATGGGATAGGTAGGGTGTTAGTTGTGGGGGGGGGGCAAGGGTGGAGAGGAGGAGGGGAGGGATTGGGAACTGGGATTGACATGTAAAACAGGATTTCTTTAAGTAAAAGATGCACATGTGGACAGAAACACACACACGACAAGATGCTCAGCATCACTCATACAGGAACACAAACTAAACCTCCAATGAGATTCCATTGGGGTGCTACTATGAAAATACAGAAGAACACATTATTGAGGAGGATGCATTGAAAGTGGAAACCTCTTGTTTGTGGGAACGTAAAATAATGCAGGTGCCCTGGAAAACAGAATAGTTTCTCCAAAAGTAAAAAAGCTAGAGTTATCTAAATATATACATATTGCTGAGTATGTGATATATACTAAGTATATATCTAAGTATATACTAAGTATATACATATTGCTGAGCAGTGATCATTTATACATAACTAAAGTGGTATATTTTACATGTATTTTATAGATATAGTCAGGCTTACTTTGGCAGCATACATTCTTGCCCATGCCTCCCTTGGGCTAGGTTTACAGGTATCAGCCAACTTCTAGTTTACTATACTTTATTTGTACATCTTTAAGTAGAATCCATAAAAATGCAGCATCATTTATAGAATTATTTGTCCCCTTTAAACAAGACTTATGTGTTGTGTATGTTAAAGAAAACTGTTCTAGGCTAAAGGAAATCAACTCTTGAACAAAGAACTATGACACTAAAAGAGATTCAAGAGAGGAACTGACAGACTCAGTAAAATTACAAGAATTTTCTACTGCTATGGACAGAACAGGGAACATGGACTCACTGAGTCACTACTGTGAGTGAAGGGCAGGTTGGCTGGTCTCCAACAGTGGAATAAAGATGCACTCATGCTTTAAGAGCCCACAAACTACAGAGCTGCTTGATTTTCTAAGCAAGAGCCGTCTATGTGATGATGCAATGTTTGACTCAGGGCTGTCATGGGAAAAGGACACTTAGTCTAGGCTGATGCAAGGCAAAGAGAGACCTGAGAACCTGCCCATAGCAGGGCTACATCTTCAAAGATGGTGGAAATCTCTGGCATCCATGATATCCAGCCCTGCTCTAAAGGTCCTAGCTGGCTGGCCATCCAGAAAAAGAAATAAGA